GCCTGCACGTCTTATATAGCCTACCAGCTGAGACAGGACGTTAATCAATAATAATAATAATAATAATAATAATAGATTAGTCTTCTGTCGCCAATCTCTAACGGAACGACAGCTGGTTCCGGCTATTGTTCTTCTACGGTTACTAAATTTCCTAGCTATTGTTCTATAGAGTTATGAGGGTTATTACCTTTTAGTTTATAGTGATATAGATTAGGATTATTAACCTTTGATTACTTTCTTATTAATCACATTAATCTACTATCTCGCTAGATAATTACCTTACAGAACTCTAGCATAAGGCTTATTAGCTATAGTAGCGGACCTAACTAGAGCAATATAGACCTAACCCCCGTGTAACACTAGGTAATATATCTTCTACTAGATAAATATCTCTACTAATATAGCTACTAAATTATTATTTAGCTTAAGGCTAAGCCTTATTTTATACTTAGTATACTCTAACACTTTACTAATAGCTAGCTAGTTATGAATAGATGTAATCTACTTAACGCTAAGGAACGTAGACAACTACTTTATAATAAGGGTGAGTAATCTTAGTAAGTCTATTATGTATTATTAAGGGCGTTAAGAATTAGGTATGTTATACCTAAGATTGTATCTTATAGTACGTTAGTAAAGATTTCTATTAGAGCGACCTAAGTATTCGCGTCTTTAAATAAGCCTTTACTTACGTAGTTATACTTCCTATAAACGTATAATATAAGCAATAGCTACTAGCGTATAGATATATATAATAAACCTTATAGTATAGCTAGTTATAGTATTATTAACACGTAATTCTATCGCTTAGTAGAAGAAGTACGATAGAAGGGTAGTCTAAGGTAAGAAGTTTTACAGTTTATCAATAATACTATATAATAGCATCGTCTCGCCTTCACTAGGATACCCTTTTACCTATAGTAGTTAGCTTTATTAGTTCTTGTACCACTACCTAAAAGTGGCGTTGCTAAGGGCCTAGCGGTAGGAGTCTGCTAGTAGTCTACCTTTTATCTTCTTAATGCGCTTCTTATTATTAAGCAGGTCTATTTAGTGTATATCTTAGATGTATTGTTCTAGCTTGTGCATCTCGCGCTTTAGATAGTTGAAAGCGCCGGCCTCACCCTTACTATATATTGGCGCTAGCTTAACATCGAGGATACCTTGCAAGCAGTATGCTCTGTCCTCGACGCGCCCAGTCGTCCGGCCTTCTACCTACCTCAGCTGCTTGTTGACGCTGAATCGAGAAAGCGGGGTCCCGTTGAGCACTTCGGACGAAATGCTGGTTATCTCGCGAATTACCGCCTGCAGCGACGTCCTGCTGCGAAGGCTCTCTCCTTCTTGCGAGAGGAACTCGATATGCTAAGGAAGCTATGTATTAAACTGCTCGCTCCCATTGCTTCGCGTTGAAGGTGGCATCCAACTTTCGTAGAAAACTAGTCAGCTAGTCTTCATTCCATTCTGTATGGCTATGCACTCTTAAGTTATCTTCCTTAAGAATTAAACCATGCTAGTTACTAGAGGACGACGCGCTATCTTCCTGCTGCAGAGGGTTCTGTTTCGAAATAATGTGACTTTAACGCTGCCAAGTTATCTAAAGCGTGGAATTAGATACTTGTCCTAGTAACTGTGTAGATCTTGCACCAGCTAAAACTCGTCGAGTATTAATTAAATCTCTAACTGTTGACACGATAATTTAGTGACTATCTTCTGTAAGTATGTAATAATTTATTAAATATATTGACTTGCTCTGTAGATGCGTCTTTAGAAGCTTTAGCGCAAACTACTAAGCTCTATTTAACGCTATTAATCTCTTCTCGCAATTTGTTTTGTTTGTTAGAGTCTAGATAAACAAAGGTCTACCCCTAGAAAGCGTCTAAACGGCGAAGAACATCTATAAGATGCACCCTAAGCTAAGACGACGTATAGGTGAGTCCCTCCTTACAATCACCTAGTACCGTGATTACAGCTCATTGGGCTGAACTGGCAGAGCTCTCAACGTCGATCCGACTGCTATACCCTTCTGGAGATGTGAGCATGCTTTGAGACATAGTGGACTACCCTTTTATTAGATTATCAAAAGTGGCACAATTCTTTTTTGATAGAATATCCTAAAGCTAGACTTTGTGTTTTCAGATACAGACCGACTTTATGTAAATAATGGTTTATAGCAGGCTAACCTCGGCTCTTAATTGAGCACGAGTAGGAGGTATCGCTCTATTGTCGAGTCCTCGACTCCCGTGAGCTTGAATAAGTATTATCTGAAGTCCCGAAAGCCCAACAAAACAACTTTATATCATTTTTCGGTTTACTACCACAGCATCCAAACACATAGTTTCATGAACTCTTCTTCGATGAATGGCGCTCCCGCAGCATCTGCTTTCAATTCAGCCCTCACGCTTTCTGCCATCTCCTTACAAGCATGACTTTCCTCATATCTCCCTCTTTCGTGCTGGAAAACCGCAAGCTTGTAATAAGCTCTGGCAAGCTGACCTTTGCCCTCGGGGATAGATCCCGCGATATCCGTTAGTTGGTTCAGCAGCTCACTGCCACAAGACCATATCAGTAATTGTCAAATGTCATAACTTAGGTGATGTTTACTCACATGGCAGAAGCAGAGTTACCGTGAATGTGCAGCAGTGATGCTACGTCGTACAACGAATCACATGTCTTCAGACGGTTTCCTAACAGTTTCTTTCGAAAAGCTAGAGCCTTTGACGCAAGGCGAAGAGCCTCGTCGAGCCTGCCTTGTTGGACTCGGATACGAGAAAGAAGTACCATATCCCCTGAAAAACGTGGGTTTCCAGTCTTGATGAACGTTTCATCCGTAAAATCTCTAAGCGATGGGCATCGCTTGAGCATATTCTCTGCCTCGTCTGGCTTGTTCATTCTCAAGAGCAGACTAGACATATTACTATAAGAGTTACCGATCCTGTCACTGTTCGTGCAAAGTCGGATGCCAATCGCTTTCTCATGTGCAGAGTAGGCTTTGTCAAGTTCGCCCATTTCGGTGTATGCGAGTGCTATGTTGTTGAGACTTGATGCAATCATGCCATCAGTCGGTTTCAACAGCTTTTTGCGGATTGCAAACGCCTCTTCGAACGGGACCAGCGCTTTCTCTGGATTGTTCATATCCAAATCAAGGAGGCCAGATAGGTCAACCGCACTGGCATATGAGAGAGTGCTTTTATCTTCAAAGGTCTCCAGCGCCGCATCAGTCAGTGATTTGGCGACACTATAGCATTCCCTTTCATAAAGGTACCTAAAAAGCTGAGTATGATAGACAGTGTAGTCATGACTTTGCAGGTACTTACCAACTACATCGCAGAAGCAATTCACCATATTCTTGAGGACAAGCGAGGCTTATCTTATGCCTCTCTCGTTGTACTACTAGGTGGTTGACATGCGGGAGGCACTTTTCGCAATTTGCCCATGATTGGAACTGGTGACCGACATCCTCACTCCACGTATTAGGGAAACCCCAGCTAAGGATACGGACAACAATGTTGAAGATCTTCTTTTGGGTGTCGGGAGACTGATTACGAAGTATCGTTGCTTGTATAAGACGATGAACAGATAGAACAGCATCGTCCGCATTCTTGTTCACGAGGCTGGTCCTTAGCAAAACTTCTTCTGCGTCTCCCAAACTGAATGGCTATGTTAGTAAACCCAAAAAAAGCCATAAAAAATCGCGTTGGCTTACTCCATATCGTCTTGAAGAAACTCATAAGTTGGCTCGAGAAGAGATGTCGACCCTTGAGATAAAATGATCTCATCTATGCTATCCGGCTGAAAGTATGGCAGCATGTTGAACAGGATAAGAGCATCTCCCTTAAGCTTCTTCATGGACATCTCCCACACTGTACTCAAGGTATGTTCGTAATCGCTTATGCTAGTCTTACGAGCATCGATTCGGGACGCGTTGCGCTCATACAGTGGGAGGAAGTCTCGAAGAGGTAGCTTCCGCTGTACGATAAAGCCTCCAATTTGAGTAAGAGCCAAAGGCAGGCCTCCAAGGGCTTTTGTGATCTCGACGGCTCTCTCGCGGTTCGATGCCGAGGCACTATCAAGGCCTATCAAGTTAAGCAACACTTCGGATCCAGCCGTGATATCGAATGGTTGAACGTGAAATCCTCTTGAAGCAGGGCTGTGGACCGCATTCGCGTCCCGTGTGGTTAGTAGCACCGATCCTGCGCCATTTGTGGGCCATGCATGCCGTAGCACCTCAAGATCGTCTGCATTGTCGAATATGAGAATCCAAGGATCAGCTAGTACGTGATCAGCCATACTGTGTTTCTTTCCGATGTTTTCAGGTAGTATAGAGCCTCTATTTTGGAGTGAAGTTTATAAAAGGCACTTACAGGCTTCAGTGAGCCAGTTCTTGACTTTCAACATACACCCCTGCGTGTCTTGTAACTCCTGCTCGGTTTGGGACAACCCAAGCAATTTCGCAATTTCACGAAAACTCTGCCCCATTTTTATGACGTTTTCAGCAGTGACCCAGAACATAGCCTTATACAATTCTCGATGACGGATGGCGTATTGCAAAGCAATCTGGGTCTTCCCAACGCCCCCCATACCGTAGAGTGCAAAGGTTCTAAGTTGATGAGCCTTTTGTTGTGGGCACAATGCTGCTTGAAGAGAGTTCAGGACATCTTCTCTACCCCAAAATCTAGGACTGAGCGTGGAAGGGATGTTTTGATATCTCTTTGAATCATCTTCTTGAAACTTGGTCTCCTTGAATTTCTCCATCAGCCCCAGAACTTCATCGTACTTCCCGCGGTCAGATTTCATGCGCAAAAAGTCCGCTTCATTCTCTACGGTTGTGGAAAGCCGTCGGATACGTTTTAGCGTGCGAGCGAAATCATCGCGAAAGTCTTTCCATGCACCGCGTTGTAACACTACATGTGGGTGTGATCGAAAAAAATGGATACAACGGGCGTAAAAGCAGATGACTTCGGTATAAACATCAACGAGAGCAGCTTCGAGTACTCGGTCCATTTCAAGGCTCGTCTCGTAGGTCCTGAACCTTGGCAATGTAAGGCTAAGCTCTTCGAGCATATCGAGAACATCTTTAAGAGTATCGCCTGCAGATGACGCTAAATTTAACACTAAGCGTATGCTGCCCCATACGAAGGCTGTCAGTTTAGTATCAGCCCCGAAACAAACCGCGATAACGGCCGAAAAATCATCCACAAACTTCAACGCTGGGCCAAGGCGCTGCAAGGAGCCGAATGCTTTTGGATCACGAGGAAGGCTCTTCTCGATCGTTTTGGTGTAATCTAGGAGATCTTCGAGCGTCGCAATCTCGGTCACAGACTGGTAATCGTCGTTTTGGTAAAGCTCCTCTCGATATCGCTCTAGGGCACGATGCCACAGAGGGCTTGCGGCTCGTTCTTCTCTGTCTGATTGTTAGTATCCAGCGCTTACATGATCTGTGAAATGGTTCGTGCCTTCTTGCTTTAGCGCTCATCACTAATGTTGACGGGATCGGCCAGTGTGTAGTGGCAATGATAGGAAGGAGAGGTAAGGCAGAGTTTTCGGACGAGCAGGATGCGGCACAGCTGCCTGCTCTCCCTTGGCGGGTAACGTGCCTCCCTGTCTGGCGAACAATCCCGCTGACCAAAAGTAACTGATGAGAGCGTCAGAACAGCACATATCTTGGTCTTACGCAGCGTCTCATTGGCTGTTTTTGGCCCCACGGGGCTGTTCGCTGCACAAGGAGGAGCGTTATCATGTTCGCCATGCATTATTTATCAGCAAGAGCGCACGATTATTGGAGGCCTTCCCCCACTTTCCTTTAGCGCCCGCGGCTACAGGCGGGGAACGGAAGCACGGACCAGATACTGTACGCTCGTTGTTTTCGAATCGTACAACTCCTGGAAGCTCGAGTTTGAAACCATTAGCTTCGGACGCTTGTCTGTTATTGTAAGATCGACATGTCACCTACCGGGTCTCTAGAGGCTGAGGCGTTCGAAGTTATAAAACCAGGACCACCGTCAACTCTTGATCCAGAAGATAGATCTATATGCTCGATCTTGAGTATGGTACAACTAAAAGGGATGAAGCAACAGATTGACTTCAGTGGAATTTCTCAAAGTGTGTACATGCGCCATGGCCTATCACAAACGCACCGTCTCAAGAGGGATGCATCGATGGGTGAGCCATGCAACAAACTCAATGAGTAGCGCTAACGCGACATATAGCCTCAGGTCCTGCAGTCCCCCATGGATTCGACATCAAACCAACTGCCTTACTCGAGGACGACTCTTTCGAAAGCTATCCATACGACGTCAGTTGGTACGACTGTTGGGTCCGTTACCAGATGAAATCCCAGCCACGAGATCTCTATTCTGTCCTAGAAACTGAAGCGAAACGGAACGATATTCCAATTTTAGCATTCGCCACCATCTGGCACGAAGTGTGGGTTCAGGCCTCAAAGAGTGACTCCAGCATTGACAGCATTGTCACTTGTCTTTTTGACAAGAAATTAGCAAACATGCATGATGATACTGAGTCCTTAAGCCACGCCACAAACCTCGTTTTTGCGATAATCGGATGGCAAACAATGCTGTACAAGCCGGATACCGGGTCTTGTCCTCGAGCCCAGCTGGCTATCGCGGACGAGACTGATGGATATCGTGGGTATGCATACATGAACCTGCGACAAGACCAAGGCGCGTCGGGGAAGGCTCTATGTGAGTTCCTTAAGGGATTTGGTGTACTGTTGCCAGGCTATAATTTTAGCACGCTGGCATCAGACGATGACAAGCGGGCTCTAGCGGCAACAAAAATTCTAACACCGGATTTGTTCAATGTGCATCTTCTTACCAACATTGGTGGTATCCAGATCAGATGGACCGATAGTCTGGCATGTCACCTTGAGTTTGATGCTGATTCGAGCATGCTCTATCTCTTTCGATTTCCAACATTCTGCGCAATCAACCTGCTTGGTCAGGAGAAGTATCAGAACAAGCCAACCATTCATTCTTGTGCAGCTCCGCCCATCACTGCATCGTACTGGGCAACCTATGAGGATATCAACGACCTACTCCGAGAGATCTTACTTTCTTACCGCCTACTTTTTGGGCAGAACAAGGCGTCTCGGCGGCTGTTCCGCTCATTAACCCCGTTTAAAGACTTGCCTGAAAGATGCAAAGACCACAGTCTATCGGAACTGTGTGGGAGAAAGCAAATCAATTTTGGGACCCAGCTACCAGAGCGTGATTCTTACATCTTAAGTAAAGACTTTCCTATCTTGCGAAGCCGACTGGCCACTCTCGCATATCATTTCTCCAACAAGCGTCCAAGGACATGGAAGGAATTGTGGAACGATAAGAGAAATTCAGCATCGTGGTTTACCTTCTGGGCTGTTCTGATCTTTGGTGGAATTGGCATCATTCTTGCTTTCGTGCAAGTTGTTCTCCAAATTGTACAAGTCAGTCTTCAGATAAAGCAACCCTAGTTCCGTTCAAACTTCCCGCTCAGCCCAGCTTTGGATCACGCCTTTCACAGTCGCCGGATACTCCTGCAGGACCACCTCCTCACCACGAAGAAAGGTGTTAGCCTGGACGAACACCCACCTTGGCTCTTGTTTTGCAAGAACAATCTCGCGCCATGCAAGGTGTTCTGCGTGAACGCTTGAAAGCTCTTCGTAATACTCTCGACATGATTGGACGTCCCCAGTGCAACGGAACAAATGCAATTGTAGTAGCATGCGACCAAGTGCAGGCTTGCCATGCGAGATGATCTTTGACCGATCAACACGTACAATGAGGCTTTTGCTTTGCGCATTGTGTTCTACGGTAACGCAACCGTCGCTGTCGGTCAAAAGGCATTTCAGAATCGCGAAATGAGCCTATGATCATTAGATATGGTTTAGAACACAGTGATATGGATATGTCTTACTCGACTATGGGCCTGTCCCCATTTCTATAATGAAAATCTTAGTACATTTCATGGAGCATATACGTTTGAGAAGGTGGCTGTCTTACCTTATGCTCAACGTTGAAATTTGCCAGTCCACGGAGTCCATCTGTTCCAAGCTGCAAGTATATGTTATATGTCACTGTATATTTGTTAGTAGTACTCTTTTGGCATCGCCTCTTCATACCTACAATCTGCAGCCGTGATCTCAGAATTCTCGTCATAACCCAACAACTCTAGTAACTCCACATCATCCATAAGATAAGCACCCACAAGCTCCGCTCTACACTCATCCACGGTTGTAGCCAAATCACCAAATTGGCCCGTCCATGTCTGTCCCAACTTGTACCAAGTCGTGATAGGTTTGCCAGTCAATGGACTTACTGGTGGATTATGGATGTCGAAATTGAACTTGCCTTCCGACTCTTCCACCATCATTCTCCCGGTACCATGTCCGAAAAGCTCGTGAAGAACTACCCACCAGTAGTAGGCAGGGTAATTTGCTTTCTGGAAGGAGTCAAGTTCAGCAGGGTCGATGAAGGGGCTTCCACGCGCTTTTTTTCCTTCAGCACACATACGGTTTGCTATTATTACATTCTTGAAACCTAACTCGTCGCGAATATCATTGTACTGTGAAACCGCTTAATAGATAGTCGATGTATTGAGCTTGTATACATACATTTGGTAAGTTGATGCCCGGAAAGATGATACTCGAGCAATATGCGAGTGCTATACACCAGTCAGTTGTGCCAACTTCTTGTTTTTCCAACTTACAGTGAATGCTCGAAAAGTCCGGCGGCTCAAAAAGAGCTTTTTCGAAGACCCCTTTACCATCGTTCTCATCACCTCCAGCCCAAGGAAGCCTCTTGATGAAAATGCCAGAGCTTTCGACAAGCATTGTTAGCTTTGATGTCTCCTCGAGATCCATGATTGCTACCAAACCTTCGAATTCTGCGCGAATTCCGTACGGATCTCTATAAGGTTCGACAAATCCAAAGATGTTCTCAACGCGAGGGCTCTTATCTGTGATCCATGTTCGCTGCGAATTACGATAGGCTTCCAGGTCACCTGTTCTGAAGCTCTCGATGTACTGAGACAAGAAGTCCTCCTGTTTCTTGTTGGCTGCATATTTCTTTGCTTCAGATAGAGAATTGCAGATCCTTGCCAGATCTTCGGAGTGATCACCGCATTTGATTTCTATGGTAGCACCGAGGCTAGGTATTTCGAGTATAGATGGCTGAATGTCATGCTCGACAGATGCTCGTAAGACCTTGAATATCTGTGCTTTGGTGTTGGACACCTTTTGGATTCGTGTGTTCTCAGGAAAGATTGAGTGTTTCTCTAACACGCGCGAGACCTCTGATATTTCATCTCGAGTAATTATGGAGTCTCCCGGATAGTACATACTCTGAGCTGTATGGCTCGGGAATCCTAACCCATACGGGGGCATGGCTTTTATCGCGTTAGAGATCTTCTCATAAAGATACTCAAGCTTGAGGGACTTCTTTGACAGCTTTTTCAGTGCGGCAGAAGAAACTGATGGCAGGAATTTCTGGTCGCCGGAGCCCTGCGGGAAATCTTAGATGTCAAACTGTCAAAATAGAGTGTGACGAACATAGTAATTCCCGATGTTAGAAAGGAATGTTGCTGCATAATCTAGAAACGTATCGCAGTCTTCTTGACTAATGTGTTTCTCAGCAACAAGTATATCCCAATTCCCCGAGCAACTCCGGTAAAGCTCGAGAATGAAGTTAAAGATATCGGTTGATTCCGGCGATACCTGGCGAAGAATGATCCTGGCTCCATGCCATGCCGCTCTGATATTTGACGGAGGATTAGCGCAGCTCCGCTTTCTTGTTTCCCTTCGAACACATACCGTGCCATATAATGGGCGTAGTGCTTTTCTTTCCAGGACAGGCCGTTGAAAGCCTTCGAGATATCCAAGCTATGTATGAGTGGCCGAGGTACAGACATTTCAGATGCTGTGATAAGGTCAAATTGGATATCTGGTAATGTAAGCGTTTTTTGGAAAATTGAGCGGGTTTTCAAGTGTCGCATGCGGGGTTCCAGCTTCCATGCTCCTTTGCACACGCTAAAACCGGAAAAAGAATGCCAAGCGGACTAGCCCACCAAAACTCCAACACTCTAATAGAAACTATCAACACCACCAGGGCGGCATTTTCTATGTAAACCTAGTGTAGTTAAATGTGCTAACTTAGTTCTCGTTATGCCGAAATATATTGGAATTATAAGGCCGCCGCTGGAGCTATAGTCACGTCGCGAGCAATAGGAGGGCATGCGCCTAAAACTACGGTGGTAAATGGGTAGAGGTTGTGT